ACTAGTCTAGCCTTATATCTCTCTAAGGTTCCATCAGACTTAAACTTGACTTTGTAGACCCACTTACAACCTATGCAGTTTTTGCCTTTAGGTAGGTTAGTGAGTTCCCAAGTCTTAGTCTGTTCTAGAGCCTTTATTTCTTTAGTCATTGCTTCCTGCCACAAGGGATTTTTGGCTGCCTGAGAATAGGTCTTAGGCTCAGTATGTTGGGATATAGCAGCAATGAAGCACAGATGACTATTAGAGAGATTTTCAGTAGACAAAGGCTCAGAAATAGGGTATTGAGACGTTCCAGAATTGCATTGAAGAAGATTTGAAGAAGTTTTATTGGTTGTAGATAAGGTATGGTTGTAAACATTGAGATAAGCAGGGGTTTTCTTTGGTCTGGTGGACTTTCTCAATGGAATAGTAGGTGTATTAGATGCTGTATCAGTTTGGGATGGAGGTAGTGATGAACTAGGCTGTTGTGGAACAGATATAGTTGGTTGAGGTTGTAGTTGAGGTGTTTGAGTATGTGCAGGTGAATTAATGGCTTCAGTAGGAATAAATGGTGCAGATGTATCATGTATGAACTGAGATGGGGGTGGAAAGAGAGTAGAGGATTGAGAATCAATGGGATCTTTGAAGGGAAATACTTCTTCATAAAATATAACATTTCTGGAAATCATTGTTTGCTTGGTTTCCAGGTTGTAAAGTCTATATCCTTTACAACTAAGAGGATAACCAAGCAAAATACATTTGGATACTCTAGGTTGAAATTTATGTCTATGAGATTGCAATGTGGATGCATAGCAAAGGCAACCTATGACTTTAAGATGATCATATACGGGCTGTTTATGAAATAAAATTTCAAAAGGAGATTTATTGCCCAAAACTGAAGATGGTTCCCTATTAATGATGTGTGCTGCAGCCAAAATGCAATCTATCCAAAAATGAAGTGGTAATGAAGCATGAAATAGAAGAGCTCTAGCTACTTGAAGGAGATGCTGATGCTTTCTTTCTACTCTACCATTTTGTTGTGGAGTTTCTACACAACTAGTTTGGTGTATAATGCCATGAAGAGAGTAGAAATCATGCAATAAAAATTCAGTGCCATTATCAGATCTTAAGATTTTAATTTTGCTGTTGAACTGATTAGACACCATATTGTAAAAATGATTGATAAATTTCTTGGTGTCAGATTTATGAACAAGTTGGTATATCCAAGTTACCCTACTATAATCATCAACTATAGTAAAAAAGTATTTGAAGCCAGAATGAGAAGTGACAGAGAAAGGGCCCCACAAGTCACAATGTACAAGTTCAAAAGCAGTTTGAGAAGATGAATGACTTTCATAGAATGGCAGTTTCTTTTGTCTAGAAAAGTGACAAACATCACAAGGATTAGGTATAGATTTACTATGTTTGCATACATGTAATGAATTCATTTTACTGAAAGACATATGACCAAGTCTGTAATGCCACAAAGTAGAGTCATCAGAAGCAAAGTTTACATTGGTTACAGGGTTTGTATTGTTTACAGGTAAAGGGATACATGGTTAGCAGTAGAATCAATAAGAAATGAAAAATGATAAAGACCACCAATGAGTTTAGCAGAACCAATCATTTGATGAGTGGCTTGGTCCTGTAGTAGACATGAAGATGACACAAATTGTACAATGCAATTATTGGTAGTGACAAGTTTAGATACAGATAGTAAATTGAAGTGGAAATTTGGGACGTATAATGCATTTTGCAGAAAAATATGATCAGACAGTTGAACATGCCCCATGTGAGTAGCAATAGTATGAGTACCATTTGGTAAGTTAACATTGATGTTCACAGGTTTAGGAGTATCAGTAAATAGAGAAAAATCACATAGCATGTGGTCTGTAGCTCCAGTATCCAATATCCATTCTGGGATGTTTATTTCGAAAAAAAAAAAAAAGGATAAGCAGTTGCAATCATTGGGGCCATATTGTGCTGCCCAACAGTATTGTTTGTTTCCTGAGACTTTTTGAAAGCTAAAAACTCATGGAACAGATAATTAGTAATGGAATCAGTGGTGACATTTGTGTTAGCAGTAGGTGTGTTTGTGTTATCAGCAATGGCTGCATGGGCAGAGTGATTTGGGTGAACTCTAGGACCTTTAGGACCAATCCAATTTGGGGGATAGCCAATATCGAACAGATTCAAAGAGAGATTTGCAGAAAGCAAGAGAAAGAACGAGAGTATGAAAAATACATCAATAATTTCAGGATAATGAAAAACTGCGGTACAAAGGAGGTGGTTTCAGTATTTATACCTACTCATAATCCTAAACCTAAAAGGGAAAAGTTGCTTTATACAAGTAGCAACGTTAGCTGTAGATGAAATAACAATTAATATAAAAATACTCCATATACTATGAATTACATATGAAATGTATCTTTAACATCCCCCCGCAAGCTGAGCATGCACATTGTGCAAGTGCAGCTTGGACTGAAGAAACTCAAACTGTGCTCTGGGTAATGCCTTTGTGAGAAGGTTTGCTGGTTGTTCCTTAGTAGGAATGTAATGGACAGAGATCAAGTGATGAGCTATCTTCTCCCTTATAAGATGGCAATCAAGTTGGATGTGTTTTGTCCTTTCATGAAAGACAGGATTGGTGGCAATGGCCAAGGCTGGTTTGCTATCTGAAAAAATAGAAACTGGGCAACCATGGGTTAGATTAAAATCCTGAAACAGATACAGAAGCCACTGTACCTCACAAGCAGT